GGGGGGGGGGGGGGATTGGATATGACCATATTATTACTATTTATTTATTATTAGGTGAAAGAATGGATAATGGGTACAAGAGTTTGGGAAGAAAGAGCAGGGAAAGTCGACGTGCAGCAACGGGAAGCGCCTTCTTCTTCATTGGACGACGCATCAGTGTTGAATCAGCGCTACATGGATAACACCAACGGAGAGGTTGGAAGGGATACTCTTCGCTCATATCATTCACAGCACAGAGACCAAATGGATGGCAATGGTTCCATAAACAATGAACTGCACGGAAAGGTACTAACTCTCCACGCCCTTCCTCTTGGATCAGCTGTTTGAGCATTTTGAAGTGTCAATTGCTGGTTTCAGGTTGCATCAGCAGTGTGCTTATGGCTTCTCCAACTCCACCAAAGGGATGGAGAAGACGTGGGATATCACGTTTTTCTCTGGATTTCCTTGAATAATTGAAAGGGTTTGTTCGTCCAGGTCAATTACAGCAGTACACAGTGTGTAAAGCGTAGGGCCTGAAAACGTTAAGAAAATGTTCAAATGTGGGTTTGAAAGGACTGGGAAATCTAAACCATCTCTATATTACTCACTTACCTCTCATGTAGATAGGATACTCCTTGTTGTCCACATCTCCAAGAACTGACATGAAATCATTTTTTGATCCTTTTGGCAGCTCATCAGCTCGTTTCTGCCTGCTTCTAGAGTTTGCGTCTTCTACCTGCGTTTCAGTTTTTTTGATTTTGTCTTGTTACTATCGTGGTCAGTTTTTCGATTTTAAAACGCGTCTTTTAGAGAGATGTTTTCACATCCTTATAAGAAGTATTTTGTTTCCCTCTCCAATCGACATAGAATCTCACAATCCACCCCTTTAGGAGTCCAACATGGTACGTCGTTTGATATCTGGCTCTGATACCATTTATAACGGTCAAAGTCTATTGCTAACAGATATTGTCTGCTTTGACTCATTAGTATCGCCTCACAGTTTTAAAACTCGACTTCTAGGAAGGTTTAAATGGTTTTTCCTGATACCCTTACCTGGTTAACCTGAAGATGGGTATACATATTTGCATGAAAAAATGGTGTAGCCCCAACCTCGTTGACTGAATATCTAAACCTTGATGCTGTTTCTACATTCACAATTCTCCTTGTCTGTACATCAATCAGATTATAACTGTGTCCAACCGATACTTCTGCTGAGTGAACTCTCTGTAAAGAGAATCAAACCCAAAGTGGCATCAGATAAGCTACAACATTTATAATACAAGACATCATTGCAGGGCATTACAGATATTGCGTTCTCAAGGCTTGTAGATTCAAGGAGGTCCCGGGAGATAAAGTTTCGTCCAATACCCCCAGCTGCAACCTCTTCATTGGTTGGAGGCACTGAATTCAAAGTAAATGCCTAAAATATTTGAAAATATGTTATGCTTTAGCGTTCAATTCTTTCATAATTCATTCATAAATGATGATGGTTTGAAGAGTTTACCAGTCCATGGTTATTAAAACCAAAAGCGCAGCTCGGAAGCTCTCCTGCGTAGGTATAAGCAAGAAAGGACAGCCCATTTTGCAGTTTTCCTTTGACCAAATAGCTACGAAAGTGGAGAAACAAATGAACAAGTCCGGTGGGCTGGTTTATAATCGTGGGATAAAATTCAGGTTTGTGAACCACTTACGTGTGGCCAACCAGAGCAACGTTGGCATCTTCATTATGTGCTGCAATGGCCATGTTTTCACTAACAACAAGAAGATCAGAGCAATCATCTGAACAATCAACTGCTAAAGCTACTTCCCTGTGAAGAAATGGAAGTATCTCCTTCCTGAAGTTGATCAAAATAATCTGCATATTGATTTTCAACGAAGATATCACAGACAGAACAGAAAACCAGGTATCATTTATGTCTCTCTCCCTCTACAATTTTAGATTATTACCTCAAGAACAGGCACACTGCTTCCTTCTGCAATTCCGACAAGTTCATCCCAATATGTTGGAAACCTTGTCTTGTTATTATTGCAGAGAGCTTCAATGAGAGGCTGGGACTGAGGGGCTTGAGCAAAAGGAAGGAGCTGGTCACGAAGAACAAGGTCTTTGTCCAATCTGCTCTTTATGGTATCAGAGAACCTCTTCCCAATCAAGAACCCCATCTGATATGCAGATTCGCATGGACCAACTTCAAACATCTCCACCTTCTTGCCCGCCATACCCCAACTTTTCTGCTCTTTCTTTTTATGGAGTTTTGGTGCAATTAAGGTATGACTTATCTTCTTCCCTACCTATGTTCTAGCCTTACGCTTTTCTAGAATTTGTTAGAAGTTATTATTCAGTCATGGGTGTTCATATCAAACAAGAATAGCACTGCATATAGGACATTCTCACTCCAGTCCTGACAAGATCATTAAATGTAGTGCAAGTAGTAGTTTGGATGCTGTTTGAGACTTAAATGCGGGGTTGGGTCCAACACTGTAACAATTACATATTATGGTTAGCCTCAGCGTTTTAAAATGCGTCTGTTAGGGAGAGGTTTCCTCACTTTTATAAAAAATGTTTCGTTCCCCTCTCCAACCAATGTGATATCACACAATCCACCCCCTTGGGGCCCGGCGTTCTCGTTGGCACACTACCCAGTGTCTGGCTTTGATATCATTTGTAACAGCTTAAACTTACCGCTAGCAGATATTGTCCACTTTGCCCGTTATGTATTTTCGTCAATCTCACAGTTTTAAAACATGTCTGTCAAGGAGAGGTCTCCACACTCTTAGAAAGTATGCTTCGTTCCCCTCTTCAACCAATGTGGGATCTCATAAACACACCCAAAGATACTTTAGGGATTCCGGCCACAAGTGGGCGGACATCAAACCATCGACTTTTGATATAATAATTAATGTTTTTATCTGCGTAAGAGATGAATTTAGTGATACTAGAATATTTAGAGGCCCTCAATGTCTGTGGTTCTAAAGAGGTTAAACTCTGTGGTGGAAAAATTGCCACCACCTTCATATTCTTGAATTTTAGACAATTATCATTAAAAAAATCGTTTTAGATTGTATCGTTAACTTTTGATATGTTTTATTTAGGAAAAAGAATCCATTTTTAATCTTAAACTTGTCAAATTATGTCAGCAAAGTTTTGCATTGATGTTCAAAGCAAGCAAGTAGAGATGTTCATAATTTTTAAGAGTAGAAAACACTCCAATTTTATTCAAATTTAACATGCCCTTATATGAAGGTAACTTGGGCATTAGATAGTCAATCTTATGCCTCAACTAATAAGTAATGACCCTTGTAGTGGTGATGCCAAGTTATGGCTTTAAGACTAACATACTCTTAGTTAGACATGCTTAGAAGCCTAAAAGTAGAAAAATGATATCAAAATGTGGATTGTGGATTACTAGTTGATATCAATATGTTGGGGGGCGTTTTGTGAAGCAGCACAACAGCTCAGACTTGACTTTGTTCCTTCAACTCTTGCAGGGAGAAGACATGAGTTATCTCTTTGTTCTTCGGATTTCCTCGAAAAATTGATAGAGTTTGCTCGTCCAGGTCGATTAGAACGCTACACATTGTGTAAAGCTTAGGACCTGAAGACATTATAAGAAAATTTTCAGTGTCAGTTTGAATTTGAAAGGAGTTTAGGCAGCCAATCTAAATGATCTTCATAATTTACCCTTCATATAGATAGGAAAATTCTTATTATCTGCATCTCCAAGAACACACAGAAAATCGTCTTTTGATTCTTTCGGCATGACATCGGCTCGTCTTTTCCTGCTTGTCGAGTTTTCATCTATTATCTGTGTTCCAAAGCATTTTATTTTCACTTCAAAACCATATCTTATATGATCGCTTGTAGATTTTCCTGGTATTGTTACCTGCTTGATATTCTGAAGATGGGAATACATATTTGCATGGAAAAATGGAGTAGCTCCAACCTCATGGACTGAAACTCTGAACTTTGATGCTATTTCTACACTTGCTATTCTTCTTGTCTGAACATCAATCACATTATAATTGTGGCCCAGGGATATCTCTGCTGAGCGAATTCTCTGGATAAAACACAATCCAACCCCATGTGTTATGCTATGTTTTGAACATGCTAAGGTGATTAAGCTGGAACATTATCTATGATGTCTCATTGAAGTGTCTTACAGCTATTGCATCTTCAAAGCTGGTAGATTCAAGGAGGTCCCGAGAGAGAAAGTTTCGTCCGATTGCCCTAGGATCAATCTCATCATTCACTGGACGTACTGCGTTCATGGTAAATGCCTAAAAGATTGGAAAAAATTATGTCAAGAGATGTTGTCCTCTTTGGGCTTTTCCTTTCGGGTTTCCCTTTAAGGTTATTAGGACACATCTGCTAGGGAGAAGTTTCCACACCCTTATAAAGAATGTTTCATTTCTTCTCTCCAACTAACGTAGGATGTCACAACAACTTATAGAATAGATCATGTTCACGTAAGCTTGAATTCTTGTCACGCAACTTGCAAGGGCAATTGTTTATTTCGTAAGATCTACGCATGCTCTTTAAATTCCTTCCGAATCAATGAATGATGAAGACCCCATATCGGAAAGATGAAAAGAGCTCAGAATTTCGATAATTGGTTTTGCAATGGAACATCTAATAGTAGGAGGGTATGAAAGGTTTACCAGGCCATTGCTATTAAAGCTGAAAGCACGGCTTGGAAGCTCTCCTGCGTGTGAATAAGCAATGAAACGTATCCCATTTTGCAGTTCTGCTTTGATCAAATAGCTTCAAAAGTGAAGAAAAGAAGAAATGAAGTTGGTTTAACAGAAGGCAAAAGTGCTTGAATGAATTGAAGTTTGGTTTTGTGAGCTTCTTACGTGTAGCCAGAGAGACCAAAGAGGGCATCTTCATTATGAGCTGCAAGAGCCAAGGAATCACTAACAACAAGAACATCAGAACACTCATCTGTACAATCAACAATGGAAGCTTCATCCTGAATACATGACAGAATCTCCCTCCTGAAGTTGAGTACAATCACCTGCACATTGACAGCACACCCTTATAAGGAATGTTTCGTTATGCTCTTTAACCAACGTAGGATGGAGCATGTTTGCACGATATAAGAGGTTACCTCAAGGAGAGGCGCTTGACTTCCATCTACAATGCCCATGAGTTCATCCCAATGTGATGGGTACTTGGCCTTGTTGTTGTTGCAGATGGCTTCTATAAGAGGCTTCGTCTGAGGAGCTTGAGCAAAAGGAAGGAGGTGGCGACGAAGAACCATGTCTTGCTCCAACCTTCTCCTTATGGTATCAGAGAACCTGTTCCCAATCAAGAACCCCATCTGGTATGCACACTCGCATGGGCCAACTTGAAACATTTCCAACTCTTTGATTTCCACAACATTCTCCTGCTCTTTCCCACCTTCCATACCTCTATTTGGTGATTTCCTGAATTTAGTTGGGTAAGTATTTACATAACATCTCTGTATGTATCCCTTTTTGTGTACTTTTCTTGTGCTTTCCGTTTACTTTGGGTTATGCTAGAATTTGTTCTTTTGAAGATTTTTTAACATTTTCAATTATTTTTAATTGCTTTTATGTTTTTTATTATTTTATTATTAGTTTGGATCGAATCATGTCGACATCGGCTAAAGGCGATTTGACTCAAAATATATTATAGAAGAATGCGACTATTTGTCGATTCTTTCTACTCAAGTTATATGCTATGAATACCGTTGTTATTACTTGCTAGCTTATAACATTACTTTCTGCCCCTGATTTCTCGGCCTTTGTTGTAGAAAAAAAACTCTTAAAAGTGATGTGTTCTCTCTTATCCTTTCTCTAGGTGCGGAAGTGATTAAAATGAATTTTCTTTTTCTTATCCCTATTGTTTTAGCTTTTCATTTCTCCCCTTTAAATTAAATTCAATTACAAGTTTGTTAGTAAGCACTTTTTAAAATATATTTTTAAAATATATATATATATATATATATATTCCAACACATGGAATACAAACTAATGCTCATATTGATCAAGATTGTTTTTTTTTTTTTTTTTTTTTTTTTTTTTTTTTTTTTTTTTTTTTTTTTTTTTTTTTTTTTTTTTT